GTGCCTGCTATCAGGCTAAGGGGATGACCATAAGGACCAGAGGAAGTCCAATTCCCTGACTTCAGACTCCCCAAAAAACTAATGCCCAGTGTAGCAACTTAAACCACAGACTTCCCGCTTTCTTTTCTTCCATGGAGCAACGTCAGACATAGTCAGCAATACCTATAGCCCAGGCATGACCCTGGCCCACCCGCCAAATGCCTTGCCCCTGGGGTAACCTGAGACTCACATTATCCCGGATGTTGATGTCGGAGCCCTTGGACAACAGCAGCTTCACAAGCTCCACATGCTTGTACTCGGTGGCCCAGATCATGGGTGTCCAGCCGCCATCATCCTGAGTAGAGAGAGGGAGACACAGCTACCATATTGTCCAAGAACATCACCTCCAGGCGATGCACACACCTTGCTCAGGACCTGAGAGGCGGCACCAGGAATCCCTAGTGTACTGCCCCAGGTGATTCATGAGCATAGAAACCTGCATGGCCCTGAGCACCACCCCTAGGCCCTGTTGCTCTGCATTCTGCTGGCAGGAATACCACTCCAGGCAACATGTGAGGAGGGCCCTGGTAACAGGGAGAACTCAATGGTCCACGTACCCTGACCAGGCTGGGGGCACTCAGACACAAGAAGCATGCATGGCAGCATCCTTCACTCATCCTCTTGGCCCCAAAGTGACTTCCAGCGTGAGACTGACCAACAGATGGACATCAGCCCAGAGATGAATGTTCCTGCTTCTTCTTGGAGGGCAAGGCAGTAGCAAAAGAGGGTTGGCAAGGCAAACTAAATGTTTCATGAACTATCTCTCTACCACTGCCCCCCAAGTCTACTGCATCCTGGGCAGTTTCACTTTCAGGAACTGAGTCAAGATGCCAATTCCTAGTTGGGAGGTGACACACTCAGCCTCCAACCCAATACTTCCAAAAGTGCTTCTTGCTGCCCAGTCTGTACTTCTCTGGACATGCAGCCTCTACAACTGAAGACATTCTCTATGCAGCCAATTGGTGGCACTGCCCAGGCCCTGGGATGGGAGAGGGGACACAGCACATGCACGGGACAGGGTGGGGGACAACCTGACTACACAAGGAGGACAATGAAACTAGACAGGGACATGGGACACTTCAGAAGAAGGCCCAGGAGACAGGGGACAGGGCTAGGCTGAGAGCAGGGACAGAGCTTCCCAAGGAGACGGAGGTCATACCAGCACTGAGAGTCTAGAGGCCACTGTGCACTGAGGGACCCTGATGCCAGGCCACTCACGGACCTGACAGACCCCTGTAAATACCTGCTGTGTGCAGACACCAATGAGGCCCCACAGACCACTATGTGGGTAAACAGCCCTGTGGCTCTGACAGTTGGGGACACAGATCAGGAGACACAACAAATACAAAGTAAGGCCATAACCAGTGCCAGGGTACAAGCCGGCTGGGTGGGAGGCTGGGCACCTGAGGGAGGGTGGAAGCTGTTCTGGGCACTAGTGTTTGGAATACCTCATTCAAGGTGACAACTGAACATGGGCCTGACAGAGATAGTGGCATAGGCAGAACTCAAAGGAGGAGACACCAGCAAGACAGTTTGGGGTTTCCTGCAGAGCAGGCTGGTGACAAGGATAAGGCCTTGTAGGAACCTGAATGTGGCACTATGAGGGACAACTTCAGAAGAAGACAACTGTGTGTATATGACCAAACAGGATATGGCTTTACCTGGCAGTTGACATCCATCTGTCCATTGGACAGCAGGTACTGGACCACATCGTAGTGGCCTTTCTTGGCAGCCAAGTGCAAACACGTGGAGCCTTCTGCGTCCTGCAACACAAATGCTGCTCAGCTCGCAGAACTATCTGTGACTGGGCCCACAGCGTAGGGTCCCAGAGACTCCCACTCCAGCCATGAGGCAGTGTCATTAGGGATCAACCATAGGGGAAGGCCAGGCTGAGGCATGGAGTCCTATCAGGGCACATCCAATATCCAAGCCCTTGGACCCTAACATGGAAGAGCCCATCATATATCTGAAAGAGCCACCTGACAAGACCACCTTTGTTACCAGAGCCCGGTGGCCTGGTGACACCCCAGATCCACCTTACCCAAGCTGTTCCTACTGTACCCCCTGAGCACTAAGTCACATGGATGGCCCAGCAATCGTCATCTAGATGGAAACGGGGCTAAGCCCTCACTGAGCCCAACAGACCCTCCATCTGCTATTTTCCACAGGACGCTGTTGGACACATGTCATTAGCTTTCAGCTGTTTCCTCGAGGACACTACACAGATCATACTAATGGAACCATCTCAACTGAGAAAAATACACACAAGAACAGGTCAGACCCAGAAGTTCCAAGGGAGGCCAGGAAGACCACATGGCGACGGCTGGGGTAGTGGCCAGCCTGAGAGCCCATCAAGCCCAGGGCTGGGCCACAGATATTCTGCCTTCCCTCCTATAGGTCCTGCTACCATCTCTATACTGACTGTATTCTGTCTTTATTACTTTTCTCTTTTTCTATCTCACAATCCTAGCCACAACCCTAGATTTTAATACATATCATTGAGCATGCTTCTATTAAGACTAATGTCGGGGCCAGGGACTTAGCTCAGTGTTGCCGCCACCTGCCTTGCAAGCACAAGGACATGAATTCAATCCCCGGTACAAAAAAAAAAAAAGAAAAGAAAAGAGAAAAGAAAAAAGAGGGAAGACTAATGTCCACTAGAACAGCCTGCACACCCAATCCCCATTGACTGGCCTTCGGTGCCGACACTGGAAAACTGCTGCGAGTTGTAAGCAGCAAAAATGTGTGTGGCAGTGGCAGTGGCGTCAGCTGCTCCACCCCGGAGCAAGCAGACACACAAGCAAGAAGCAAGGCCCCACGTGTTGGAACCGTGCACCTCAGAGTGGACCAGAGGGGTCTCACAAGGTGGCAGTGTCTCAGCCCAGGGAACCATGAAGCAGTAAGAGGTGAAAGTGGCAGAGAAAAGCTATCACCTACTCTTCAGAACTGTAAGGTGTGCCATCCACTCCGTTCAGGCAGGAGCACAAGTTCTGATCACGTTTATCCAAGGGAACCCCTACTGCCCCATCCAGTGTCTTTGTACTCGTCCCACACAGGCAGTCACCCCATGGATGCAGAATCTATGCCTTCACGATACTTTATGAAACCTGCATTCATCCGTGAGGGTTTTGCACTTTAAAATGGTCTACAATATACTCCGGGTCCTTCTGCAACTCCTGTTTAGTTCCACATGATGCTCTGGAGAATCATCTTGGTAGGTAACATGTAACAACCATTCTCGGTTCAGAAACACTGAGCTGTTTGGGACTTTTTGTTATCTAGAAATATACTGATGTGTCTCTGTCACGTGCCGGTGTTGGCCCCTTGAGAAGTGCTAGCTCGAGCGGTCAGCTTCCGACCTGCCAATGAATGCGCCTAGGGCAGCATGTGTGTAAGTGTCATCTTACATTACTCTTGCTGTGAACAGCCAGTTGTCTTTTCCACAGGGCTGCTTTCCTTTCAGGCCCAGCATCTCTCAAATGTTGGCTGCTGCTGGCTCTGGTGCGCTTGCTCACACACTCAAGCTAACTCTCTCTGTGCTCAGGGCACTCTGGCTGGTACTGTTCTTCAGTGGCCTCTTCTTTCCCGGTCTCTTCCTTTCAGCACACCAACAGCACCCTGTAGTAGGCCCACCACCCTGAGTAAGAAGTCAGTAGGACCTCACTGCACTGCTTGCCTGTCTGTGACGCAGTTTTTCTCTCATGATACTTAGGGGTTTTCTTTGTTTTTTGTTTTCAACAGTTTAAGCATGATGCATTTAGGTATGCTTTTTAACATGCATTTTGCCTGGGGTTTGCTAAGATCTATAGGTTCTTAGATCTACAGGTTGCTGTTTTTCCCCAATCTGATGAATTTCTGACCATATTTCCCAATTTTTTTCTACCTGGTTTGCTCTCACCTCTCTTCTGAGGTCCAACCACAAAATTTGATCATGCCCTAAAATCTGTTTCACATACTAAATACTTTCTATAGATGAGTCTTCCATTTCAACCCTCCCAGTTTCTTCTGCTTTGTCCACTCTGCCTCAAGGCTCACCTGTGACTACCTTGCAGAGTCCAGCTGCTCCAGGACACTCTGAGCTCCACCTCTACACCCTTAGCCCCAAACTTCTGCTTGGCCTCCAGTTCCCTGTGACATGCCACAGATGTGGAGTTTGCCCAGCCACCATGATGAAAAGGATTGTTAACTGTTCTCTACAGCTATTTACAAAAAAGCTAAAGGTTCCCATACCTTAAAAACCTTAAAATAAAGGGACAAGTAAAAACTTGAAAAAACATTTGCAACACATGTAAATAATGTAAATAAGTATATTTTAAAACAAGTTGACCATAAAAAGAACAAATTGATATCATAAAGCAAAGAAGAAAATCAAGCACCTTTGTATGTAAAATTGTTAATACTGAAAAAGACCTATAATAGAGAGTACTGGTAAGGGCAGGTTCAGACATTCCTACATCAATTCATAAAAAGTAGTATAAAAAGCCTTACCAAAGATCACCTGAGCCAGGAGTTCAAGAGCATCCTGAACAACATAGAAGACCTCATTTTTTTTTAAAAAAAGGCCTTAAAATTGTTTATATATTTTGATACAATTCTGCAAGAAATCAACTGTGTACCAATAGTTAGCTAAAAAAATGTTTATTAAAACATAGCTTATGATAAAATTAAATATAAATATTAACACACAAGTTTGGCTAAAAAAAATGCAATAATATAAAATACCGATGAAGACATTTGAAGTGTTATCAACATTTAATGACCAAGAAATAATGATAATTTAATCTGATGTGAAAAAGGAGTTGATAAATTAGGATAGGCCTCAAACTCATGGCAATCCTCTTGCCTCAGCCTCCCAACCACTGGGATTATAGGTGTGTGCCACCACATCACAATCATTTTTTAGAGTTACACTTTTTTTTTGGTACCGGGGATCGAACTTGAGTGCTTGCACTTACAAGGCAAGTGGTGGAACCACTGAGCTAAATCCCCGGCCCCTCAATCATCTTTTAAATGTGGAACTCAACGGCATTAATTACATTTTAATTAATTAATTAATTACATTTTCCCATTTACCATTGTCACTATTCCAAAGCTTTTTCATGAGCCCAAATACAAACTAACAATTAAGCAATCACAGCTCCTCCTCTCAGCTTTGGGCAGCCTGTAGCCTGTTCCAAGTATCTCACACAAATATGTGTCCTTCAGCACTTGCTCCTTTCTCTTTACACCTTCAAGGCTGTAGCTTCAAGTCTGTAGAAGGGTTCGTGCTTCATTTCTCCCTACGAAGGAGCAACAGTCCCATTGTATGCACTGGCCACATGTTGTCTGTCTGCTGATGGACACTTGGGTTATTTCTACCTCTACAGCTGCTATGAACAATGTTGCAATGAATACTGCTGCTCAAAATCTTCATGCCTGTTTTTACTTCTTTGGATATGCACCATGGGATAGAATCATTGAAGGACGTAGTAATCCTGTTCAGTGATTCGAGGAGCCACCAAATTGCTCTTCACAGTAGCTGTACCATTTGAAACTCACCCCAGCCCCAATTTTTCCATGTCCTCACCAACATTTACTTTCCCGTTTCCAGATAACAGCCATCCTGGTAGGTATAAGGTGACTGACTAACTAACCGTGGTTCTGATTTGCATTTGCCTGATGACTGACAATGTCAAACATCTAACTGAACATTTGCATATCTTCTTTGAAGAAATGCCCACTTAAAACTTTTGGCCATTTGTTTTTAGACAGTGTCTCAATATGTAGTTCAGAGGCTGGCCTTGAACTCATGGCAATCCTCCTACCTTAGTCTTCCAGGTACTGGGAGGAATGTGCCACATTTGGCCCAACTTTTGTGCATTTTTCATTGGATTACTTGAGGAGTTTTTGGTGTTGAATTACAGGACTTAATATATTCTGGATAGAAACACTTAATCAGATATACAATTTACAAACATTTTTTCCATTCTGTGGGCTATCTTTTCACTATCTTGATAGTGTCTTTTGGATACACAAAAGTTTTAAATTCTGATGAGGTTATCTTTTTCTTTTATTCTCTGTGCTCCTGGTGTCATATCCAAGATATCACTGGCAAATCCAAGGTCAAGAGACTTCTCATAGTTTTCTTCCAAGAGTTTTGTGCTTTTAGCTCTTAAATTAATTCTCTGATTGACTTTGCAGTAACTTTCATATGATATGAGGTGAGGGTCTAACTACATTCTTCTGTATGTGGATATAGCATATTTTGTGCACTATCTGTCGAAAAGATGCCTTTTCCCACCAAATGATCTTAGTAACCTGACAAAAGTTAACTGCGTTCTGGGCTTTCTCTTCTGTTCCACTTGTGTGTATCTGTCTTTACACCAGCATCACACTATATCACACTTTACACCAGCATCATTACTATAGCTCTGTAGTAAGTTCTGAAATCAGAACTGTGAGTTCTCCAACTTCATTCCTTTTTAAAACTGCTTTGTTATTCCAGGTCCCTGAGACTCAGTATGAATGCTGAGATGACTTTTCCTCTAATTGTAGAAAAAGCTGTTGGGTTTTGATAAGGACAGCATGGAATCCACTTTGAGCAGTATTTTCATTTTAACTATATTAAATCATCTAATATGTAAAGATGGGATCTTTCCATTTATATGTGACTTCTTTAATTTCAGCAAAGGCTTGTAGTTTTGAATGTACATTTTTTTGGCCTCCTTTGTTAAATGTATTCTTACACATTTATTCTTTTGATGCTACTGTAAATGGAATTACTTTCTTTCCTTTAACTACAACTATATAAAAATATAACTGACTATAATGTGATTTTTGTACCCTATTATTTTGTTGAGTTAGAGTTTTAGCTCTAAAAATATTCTTGTGGCTCCTTTAGGGTTTTTTTTCCTATGTGTTAGGTTTATGTCATCTAGAACACAGACAGATTTACTTCTTCTTCCTTTCCAATTTGGATGCCTTCCATTTCTTTCCTTTTAAAAAAATATATACATATCTTTATTTATTTAGAGGCAGCCCCCCACCCCAGGGTATCACTGTGTAGTCCAGGCTGACCTCGAAATCCTGAATACTGGGAGTATAGGTATGCACCATGATACCTAACCCCCATTTCTTTTTTTTTTCCTACCAGAGATCGAAGTCAGGTCCTTGTAGGCACCAGAACCACTAGATTAAATCCCCAGTCCCTAACCCCCATTTCTTTTCTTGCCTAACTTTTCTGAGAGGAAGACAGAAGAAGCAAAGTACACTGAATGAAGGAAGCAAAAAGATTCTGTGCAGCCAACTCCTTATGGGTTGATTTGCCTTTTGTCTGCAAACTAGATCAGGTGCTCACAAGGGTTTTTACTAATAAACAGTCAACACGTAAGGTGACAAACTAGTTCTGGGTAAATGTCTGAAGATGCCCCAGTGAAGAACTGCTCATCCCTCTGAGAAATATCTCCCCAGGAAACAGGCTTGTGAACTCAGGGTGGGGCATACCTTTGGGTCTACCTGTGCCCCGGCCTTGATGAGGTACTTCACTGCATCCAGATGGTTGTTCTCTGCAGCCTCCATCAGTGGGGTCCGCTGGTCTTCTGAGCAAGTATCAATATTGGCTCCAGCCTAGTAAAACAGAAAGTTCAGGTGTCCAGAGAGTGGCTGTTGCAGTCCCAACCACAAGCAAAGGACTTAGATGCTTCCAAACTTGAAAAAGAGATTTGACAAGTGACATTAGAACTGTCTTACTGACCAACTATGTGTAAATCTTCAAAAACTGTACTTAAGGCACAATTTTTCTATTACTATCAAGTTGTAGTTTAAGAATACTTTTGCTACTGCATTCCATTCCCAGATCTGACACAATGTGTTCACAACACACACAGGTGTGAGAGCACCTTTAAAAATGAGCAAGACAGTGCTAACATTTCAAGCAGGCAAAGTGGAATGCAGAGGGGCCTCAGGGAAGAGAGTGTGGAGAAGCCAGATAGATAGTCCCTGGCTTCCACTCTGTTGCCTGACTCTCCAGCCATTTCAGTGCTTCTCAAAATAAAAAGGGCAAAACCTAATTTCCAGTGACAAGAATTTTGCAGAAATTCTACTGTTTCCAGTAAAGTTATGAACTAGCAGGTACCCTACAGTAAAGCCCTGAATTTAATGCCAGTTGTTGGCAGCTGAAACCTTTTCTCCACAGGAGAAACACTGAACTTCTTAGACCAGTAAAGAACTGATGTTCAATCTACAAGTCAGATATTTACTATGAAATAAAGTAGAAATCCTACTGTTTTACTATCAGCAATTAAAAAACAAAAGGAGCTCAACTAAACAAAGAATTTTGACACAGGCCTGGAACAGGGTGTATGGGAAGCCAGGTGTAGCCATGGGCTTAGCCACTTGAAAGAGGCCCTGAGATAGCCAAGGAGCTCTGGAAAGGACCTCAGTTATTTCCAGAGCTATGCTCCCTGACCTGGAACTGCAGGCCCATGGGACAGGGGACACAGATCTGAATGATAAGAGCACTGAGGCAGAAACAGGGTAGAAGAAACAAGGCTGATTTTAAACACAAAAGTTCAAAGCCAAGGTCAGCCTGCCAAATCTGAGGGCAAAGTAAAACCAGAATCCTACAGCAGCTAATTTTAATTTAAGCAAAGCAAAGAGAGTAAACCATACAGAGCTGGTGAGGCTGGGGCTTGGGCCAGGGCTGAGGCTGCCATCTGCAGGGGGAGCCAGGTTCTACCTGCACAGAGGACACAGCTCTGCTCCTCCTCAGGCACCCAAAAAATCAGTAAGAAAACAAAAGAGTGTGCCCACAGCAGAGTGAGACCATGGCCACAGGCCAGCCCAGCCACCACACCCCAGACAAGCCAGGCGCCTCAACAGATCTGCCCCTTCAGCAGCACAGGGCTAGTGACGGAGTCATGGCTCGGAAGTGAGGGGACAAGGGCTGCCTAAGAATAGAGTGCTGGCCTGGCACAAGCTGAGGCCCTCACAGACAGCAACACAGAACCCCAGGAAAGACACTGATCATGGTCTAGGAAAACAAAGAAACCTCTGAGGCCACATGACATATCAGAAAAAATGCACAGGCAAATGGGCCCATCAGGTAACTAATGGGATTTTCAAACAGTTGAGAACTGCACAAAGAAATGAGGCTACCAGTGACGGTCAGGAGGGACGACACAACAAACTGTTCTGAACCTGGCAGGACCCTCTTCTATACATTCCCAAACATTCACTGCAGCAAGGGTGTGGGACCAAGAACATGAACCTCTGCCTCACAGCCCTACACATTTACCACATACTGTGAACACGAGCCCTCTCTAGAGACAGGCACCCAGAGTGCCCTTCAGGACCCAGAAACAGCAGGGACACCACTAAGAATGGACAAGGAGCACCAGGGCAGGATGGAAGCAGGATTCACTTTAGGGCTGGGAAACAGCCCCACTGGTGGGAAAAAGCCCACAAGCTTGTAACGCTGGGAGACAGGGCCACTGAGACACAAGAGCACCCCCTGACCCATCCTTGGAGCCTGTCAGTCCAGGAGTTAGACCACACATGTCTATATCACTGGCAAAGGTTGGGTGGACTCCAGATCAGTGCCAGTGAAATGCTTTCTGCCATGTCAGTGTGTTCTCCATCTGTACTGCCTAGGGCAGTGACCCCAACCACATTGCTGCTGAACATGGAACGCAGACACTCTGATGAGCTTCCTCTTCTAGTCAACTTGACAGCAAAAGCAGCTGGGGCTTGCAGAACAAAACAAGGACACTTGGACTCCTGAGCGGCCTCTCAGGAAGAACACACTCCACCCACTCCCCTCTGCCCTGTAGGATGCTCCACTCAAAACCAAGTATAGACCGCCACCAGTAGTCAGCCCTGCCTGGATGGGTCCTGGGGGAGAGGACCTGAGGGCCCAGAACACCAGCATCAGCCTTCAATAGGGCTCTGTCCAGAGCTGCAAATGGGAGAAACCCCTCGGTTCTAAGAAGCTAGAGGTAAAACCTCTCCTATTTCTCTCAATGGGAAATTTCAGAAAATCTGCTTAAGTTCTAAGAGGAAAACATACAAATGTTTGTATGCATGCATGCATGCATGCACAAACGCACATAAAGACCACCCAAGATCAGCAACAGGAAGTTTGGCAGCTGAAATGAGATCAAGTGCCAGGCTGGAAACTGAGTAAGCCAAGCCAGGTCAATCAGACCTTCCACGAAAGGAGGTAAAGGACTCATATATATAAAGAGGGTCCTCCAAATATAGAATGATTTATTTTGCAATACTCAGGCTCACCACGTGTGCTGAAAACAACAGAGCTCACACAGCTTCCCCGAGGACAAAGTCACTGTGCATCCACAGCACGTGGCAAAGACAGGATGAAATCCTGGTCCCACCACCTAGACATCAGTCTTCCCTAGGTCTCTCTGGCTTTTGTATGTAATTCATTTATGGTTTGGGAACTAAAAGAAGCTACACACAAAGAACCTGAACTATACATCTTGATTATCATAAAGGTTGAAAAGAGACAGTGCTTGGGATACTTTGGGGTCATGCAGCCAAGGAGGCAGCATATTCAATCCTCACAGCAAAGGTCCTGGGGCAGCAGTGCTGGGTCTGCCTTACAATGACAGGACATCTTAGGGTTTATCTGCATACAACATGCTTATTGACTTTAGGTGTGTATGTGTGTGTGTGTGCATGAACTAGGGATTGAACTTAGGGGCCTTGTGTATATTTAGTACACACTCTACCATTGAGTTAATGCTTGGTCCCTTAAGTGTTCTTAAAAATAAGGAAGGAGAAAGGCCAGAGATTTAGCTCAGTGGCACTGCACCTGCCTTGTGCAAGGTCCTGAGTTTGATCCCTGGTACTCCCCCACCCCCCAAAAAGGCAAGGAGAAAACAGTTTTCCAGAGGAATTACAAGCTAATTCTCAGAAATGGAAATCCATACACCGTGGAATCATCCTCAATAACTGCCAAATGGAGCTCTAAGTCAAAGAAAAAAATCCTTCAGATGCTGAACCCCAGTGGGAGAGAGAACTTCCTCAGTCCTGGAGTCTGCTGGCCTCTATCCCTGCTGTGCCTATGCCCTGTGGCCTGCACTGCCTCTGTCACTTGACCCTCAAGTTCATCCTCAGCTAAAACACGGACCTATATATATATATATGTATATACACATACATACATACATACACACATACACACTCTTGGCTTCTCCGGTGGGATAGCCCGACAGCAAGCATGGTATCTACTCTCCTGCCCCACAAAGCACCAGCTCCCCAACTCTTCTGCACCATTCTCTCCCTCATCCCAGTACCACTTATGAGCCTTCCTCCGTCCACTGTAGCCTGCCCCTTAGCCCCTGCCCTTGACTCCTGCCTGGGCAGCCCACTAAACTTACAGACCTTTGTGGGACAGCCTATAGCTTCTGAGTGACCGTTAGTAATACCTTCAAGGAAATAGGGAGGAAAAAGAGGCTGTAATACAGAACAGTCAGAGTAGGAAAGGGCTCTCTGGATTTCCAATTGTGAGTACAAATCAAATATCCCCCAGTAGCCAGAACTGAGTTGAGGACATGTCCAGAAAGTGCAGCTAGGAGACAGAAAATGACCTTGGCCAGGAATCAGTGCAGAGACATTAACTGGAGGAAAGAACCCAACAGGAGAGAGCTGAGGCAGGTGGCGGATGCTTGCAAGTCATCTGGAAAAACAAGACCAAAGGCCATGGATTCTTACACAAATGTGACATCTCAACACCCCAAATAAATGGAAAGGACCTGAGGTACCATCAGGTGAGACATCAGACTCACAGGGCTTAAGGACAGTCCTCAAAGTTTCTAGAAGTAAAGGTCACACAAGGGGATCAGAAGGCAGGGTACATCAGCCTAAGTGTAACATCTGGAAAATGGCCCAACCAGGGTTAAAGAAATGCTATTGAAAGTAGGCTTCACAGTGAGAGATGGCAAGCAGTACCCATGAGTGTAAAAAGGGAAAGCACTGCAGTCTGTGCAGAGGGCCAGAAAGGAATTAGCATCAGGTCAATTAGGGCAAACCATACCATATAGGCAAGAAGGCCCTAAAAAGAATGTGCAAAATATTTTCTAAACTTAAAGACAAGTCTTGAAATAATCCAGTCAGAGAAAGACAGATAGACACACACAAATATACACATACATACATTTAAAAGAACAAAAAAGCCTATGAAATTTAATCAAACACCATCAATAAAGCAAAAATTTGCAAGTATGGGTACTCCAGAGAACAAAGGAAGGGAAAAAGCAGAGGAAATCTACTCAATGAAATAACTGCTTAAAATCTCAACAATCTTAAAAATGAGAACAAAGACCTGTCATGTAAAGGTACAAGATCCCAATGATGAATGTAACTGTACTATATACATAAAATGTACCAATAAACTCAATGAGAAAAAAAATTTATATATATCAGTAATCTTGGGAAAGACAAGAACATCCAGGTTCAAAAGGCCCTGAACAGATTCAAGTAATAAAGATTATCACCAAGGCCAGTTACATTCCAATTGCCAAGCACACAAAGAAAAGAGAAAATCCTAAACACAGTAAAAGTGCCAAGTCACATAGAAGGGAATTCCCAGGAAAGCAACAGACTTC